AACATCCCAACGAAACACAAACGTGGCAGCAAAGAGAGATGTATGCTAGAAAGAGGGAAACTCATCATGGGGGTCTGTAGTGGGAGTATCTTACACTAGTTGCTGGCACCTTTACTGGTTCACTGGGAGAAAAAAGGGCTGAGGGTAAGAGGGTGGCTGCTTTGGGGAGAAGAGCAGGGAGCCCTCTCCATATCTGCAGCATCCTCTTGCAAGGCACAGGAAAAGTTGCATGGGGTAGGTGGGAGAGGTGAGAAAGCTTTGGAGAGGGTCACGCTGACTTGATGGTCACCTTGTCACCTGAAACGTCACAGCAGTCCCAGACACAGCATTTCAACCAAGTATGGGCCCTGGTGCTGATGGTAAAGGGGGGGGATCTCCCAGCAGAGCTCGGCTCGGGGTGCCCGGTGAGGCCCCAGCACCTCCCTACCTGGCTGGCAGCCAAGGGTGCTGCCAATCCTCCACACAGACCTGCCTGTCCCACATGCCACATTCAAAGGCCTTTTCACACGGCCGCAGAGCCTGACTGCCAGGCAGGGGACAAGATGCTCTCCCTGCATCTTCGCTATGCAAGAAGTACCAGGCTCTGCTCCAGGTCCTGGGACAGGTTTTTACTCTAAGCCTCACTTTCCAGGCATTGATAAACTTCAGGGCTGAACTTTTCCAGGCTTGCTCTGCATCCGAAAGATAAATTCAACTCAAAATTGGGGCACATGCACACACTTTCATTTTTTCCAGCAGAAAGTTTGTGCTTTATCTAGAGAGAATCAAAACTCAAGGCACACCACGAGCTCTCAGGGAGGCCAAGGCAGCAACTTTAGCATGAATGAAAGTGGCCTGAGCCCCCGGGAGGACAAAAACCACACAAATGTGAGAAAACAGCCTGAAATACTCTTGCCCGCTGAGAAGAAGAAATCTAGCAAATTGGGGGAGCTGGCAGGGTTCATGTCTGAGCACAGGCAGTAAACAGCACCTCAATTTGTGAGATGGCTGCCAGCAGTACTGCCATACTAGAGAGCGGGGGGTGCTCGGGCTCCACCGGGGAGGATGGCGGATCCAGCCCCTTCAGAAACTTACAGTGTTTTGCTGCCAGCAAATTGGAGCTGGATACAAGGAGAGCTCCAGGGCGAGCTCCCAGCTCCTTGTATAACCTGCCTGACTATCCCCTTGGTTCAGGGAGAAGGGACCATCACAGAGGCCAGAGAGACTGAAGCATCCAGGAAATCCGATTTCTGCTCTGGGATGGATCAGATATATCACACCAGGATGGGCAAGAAGCAGAAATGGAGAAATACTATGGCCTGGGCTTTGCAGAGGGCTCACCTGTGCTTCCCAGGGCTGTTGGCATCACCTCACCCCCTCCAGCAGTGAGCGGAGGTCATCAAGGTGGGCAGGCAGGAGTTGCCTCTGTCGATGGCCCCCAAGGGTGACAGCTCACCACGTCTCAGGCCAGCTGATTATACCTCTGAGATGAAATTGCCTTTGGCCAGCACTGCTTTCCATGGCTTGCCCACCCCACCAAACCCATCAGTGCTGCAACATACCTCCCTCAGCCCAAAGCCACAACCCCACCACCCACCTCCTCCTCCCTGCCACTGCAACCCTCACCAGCCCCTCCTTCACTGCATTCATACAGGATGGGGCACAGGGCGAAGATCCAGCCTGTGTCTACCATCACCATAAAACACATAGTAACCATACCCCGGGATGCTGGCAAACCCACCCACTCAGTGTGGCACAGGATGGGCTGAATGAGAAGCCACAGGGCCAAGTCACATCAGCTTAATTATGGTGTGACATGTACAGTGATGGAGTGAAGCCAGAGGTGGGGACACGGGCACTAACAGGTTAAGTGGACACGTGCAGGATGGCAGGTCCAGATGACACCCACGCCGGGGGACCACAGCAAGACACCAGAGTCACCCTGCCATTAGTTGAGACCTTAGGGACACCCAGGGGACGGAAGATTAGGGATGATAATTCTCTCTAAGTGGAGGGAGAGAGATGAGAGACTCTCAGCCTGATTTCCACACTCAGAAAGAAATGGGAATGAATAATTAAACATCCCACCTGCAAGCACTGAGGATAACCCCAAACCCACATCTCACAATCACGGCAGATCCAACTGGTCCAGTTCCCCTCGCCGGCAGGATGGTGATCAGTGGGTGAAAGCCATCAGGCTGGCACCGCCTCACTGCAGGAAAACTCCCAGTGCTGTCCAGTACAACATGCTCCCAAACTAGGGAACAGGCTCCAGGGTGACTGCACGCACCCCCACTTCTGCCCAGACCCCAGCACGGCCCTGCTGCCACCCCCTTTCCAATCCTAGAGGCAGCAGCATCCCCTTCTGCCCTATTAGCCCTTCCTGAAGCCTCTCCCCAGCCCAGCCAGGGAGCCAGCCCCCCCACCCTGTCACGGCTTAATCCCAGCCG